AAAAAAAAAAAAAAAAAAAAAAAACCTTAAAAAAAAACTCCATCAGAACATATTACATACAAATTCCATGTCCTGGTGGTTAATTCAACATCCTTCTCAGTCACAGTCCTCTTTGAAAATCTGATGAATTTATTAATCCTCTATCTGGAAAAAGCACACAAAAATCATACACAATTTTAAAGGGTTCATAGACCTCCTAGAGCTTACTCATGGACTATGAGGTATCCAAGGATTGCAGGGTTTTCCTTGTTTTCTCTCACTTCCTTTTTCTTTCTTCCTGCCTAGCCACAGTCCTTTCTTCTCCTAATTCTCTCTTCCTCACCAGCTTCTTCCCACAGTACTATGGAAAGAACTCAAAGACCTGGGCTAGAATCCCAGCTTAATTACTTATTGGTTTTGGCTTCCCTGACTTGGGGAAAGTGTGAGTGGTATCAGAGAGGAAAGCAGGACAAGTGCCTGGATCTTGCTGCCAGAATGAAAACTTAAGTGCTCAGGCCTACAACTATATTTGGAGTTTCCTACTAGGCTCATGGGAGGGCTCCCAACCTTTGTCATTACGTATGGTAACAGTCATGTTAATACTGCATCCCATATTTTCCAGGAATAGTCACATTTCCAAACATGGATACTATAGTTTGCATAAATATCCTTATTGCATGTAAGATCACATGTTCTATTCTTTGCTTTGGAGAAAATAAACTGTGCAAGTAGAGCAGACATTTCCATGTTGGATATTTCACCCAGAGGTTTTGGTATATTGAACACTAGGGAGGATTTTTTCTATTATCTTTTGCCTATATTCTTCCTTTTTAAATTTTTCAAATCTTAAGGAACAGAAGAAGAACCAAAGAAGGAAAATGAGATAGTCATTCATTTATTTACTCCACAAATAACAAGCACCTTCCCGTACTATGCACTGTTCAAAAATTACAAAAGTTCCCATCCTCAGCCAGCTTTCATTCTGATAGGAAGCAAAAGACAACAGACTCAATAAATGTATAGATACTGTAGTATGTTTTGTGCTAAGTGCCAGAGAAAAAAATTAAAAATGGCCCATGAATAAAGAGAGGTGTTGGGGAATGAGTTGTGATTTTTTAAGTAGGGGTTGTGGCTCAGCAGTAGAGTGCTTGCCTAGCACATGTAAGGCACTGGATTCAATCCCAGCACCACATTAAAAAAAAAATTGTATATATATATATATATATATATATGGACTGGGGTTGTGGCTCAGTGGTAGAGTGCTTGCCTAACATGCATGAGGCACTGGGTTTGATCCTCAGCACCACATAAAAATAAAAAATAAAGATATTGTGTCCACCTAAAACTAAAAATTAATTTTAAAAATACTAAAACAAATAAAGGTATTGTGTCCATCTACAACTAAAAAAAAATTAAAAAAAGATTTACTATAAAGGTAACCTTTGAGTAAAAACCACATGAGAGGAGCTAGAGGGTGTAGCTGACCTGGAGAATATGTGCTTAGCACATTTGAGGCTCAGGGTTCAATACACACACACACACATACACACACACACACACACACACAAAGTCTATCAAACAAACAATATCGCTGCTCCACTGAGATCCCTTTTCCCTTTTCAACATTTTTGTGCCACTCCAATCTACTACAGTGTGCTTTTCCTAGCATCCAGTACTTGTGGCTTGTCTTCAGAGAACTTCCTAGAAGATGACACAGCATAGCATCTCCTCAGCACTGGGTTTGCCCAGCTCCCCCCACTCCAGCCGTTAACCCCATAGCAAGATCAGAGTAAGAAGATGTTGGATCCCTGCTGAGGCTTCCTGTATCCTACATTCGCCCTTTACTTGTTTTTACATTAAAAAAAACAATTTCATATTCATTATCTCTAGCACCACTCAAGCTACCTGTTATCATTTGATGACCTCTCATTCAGTATTTCCCTTCAATATGTGCTTCCATTTCATTAATCTTTATTCAGGGGGATAAAAAATATTGGTAGTGGAAGAACTGGGTAGAATATCACTTGTGGCTGTTTTTTCAGATTTCTAAAGATGCCCCTGCTGGTACAACAAGGATGGAGCCTAAGGGCAGCCCAAGAATTCCACCAGTCTCTCTAAATGTCAACACTGTTCTCAGGTAACTACAGGTCAAAGACCCCATCTGTTCATTCCCCCTCCAGTGGCCCACATCAGCCAGGTGTTTATATACTCCATATGGTAAAGTACAATATACCAAAGTATAAAAGTGCATATAGCCAAGTGCCACTGATTTAACGAAAAAAGCCTGGAACAGGCCCAAAGGCTGCTTCAACACATATTTTGTGAACATCTAATCATGAGTTAAATCGTTAGTAAGCACTGGCAATAAGAAGATGACCAGTGCACGTGCCTGAACCTTTGCTTTAAAATCTTCGTGATGTATTTGCGATGGCAAACACAGTCCGACACGAAAGCTATCAGATACAGGACTGCAATAATAATTATGACTCAGGAGCCACGGGGAGCCCAAAGGAAGAATTATTGGGGGAAAGTTCCAGAAGACAGCATAAGAAACCCTGGAGCCAAACAAGTGGGGACCTTAGTCCTTGAGAGGGAGCTGAATGCACCAAGGACACTCAACCTGGAGCGAGGGGATGGACGTTTCTGGGCCTTGGCTCGGAAAATCTGGAGCAATTACATTCTAAAAGCGATTAGGAAACTGCAAAACTCCGTGTTGCTTTTCGCCAAGGCTACAACCTGGCCGTTAAGGCAGGACGCCCTGAGAGCCGCCAGTGGGGACCCAAACGCGCGCCCCGAATCCTCAGCGCCTCCCTCCTCGGCTTACTAAACTACAGTGTGGACCGGGACTCAGTGACCAGAGCAACGGGAAAGCACGGCGGTGAGGAAGCCGCGCTCCGAGGCCGAGCCCCGCGCAGAAGCTGGGCCTCGGAGCCCACCACCTGGGCCCTGCTGCACCTCCACTGCCACCCCCGCGCCGCGGCCGCCCCCGCCGCCCGGGGCCGCGAACCAGAGCCCAGCGGGCGGTCGGGCCACCCCGCCCTCTTCGCCGTGACGAATCGGCTCCGGGCTGGGACACTATCCAAACTCGAGGAGTTCTGGGGAAGCTGTGTGGCCTGAAAAAAAATCCTTGACTATACCAAGCATCACCGCATCGTGATCAGAAGGGTTATTTTTCTAAAGAGAGCCGGGCGCGGCCCGGAGAGAAATCGAACGGAGTGTTGAAAGTGCGAGCGCGGAAGCTCCAGCGCGAGGGGCGGGGCGAGTGCGGGACAAAGGGAAGCGAAGCCGGAGCTGCGGGCGCTTTTTCGGCCCGCGGGTGAGTGTTTCCAAGTGGGCCCGACCCGGTCGGGAGGGTGGCAAGCCGCGATGTCCCCGCTTGGCTGGACCCCGAGTTCCCGCGGGTTGCTGGGGTGCAGGTGTGGCCGTGGGGGCCGGAGCTGGGGGCCGTGCGGCCTCCTTGCGGCCTAGCGGCGCGAGGGTCGGGAGGAAGTCCCTCCGCCGCCCCTCCTCCCAAGCAAGATTTGTCCCCTCCGCTAGTCCCCCGAAATGGATCTAAGCGCCTGTGCACACCCCCTTTTGCGGGAGTTGCCAGTCCAGTGGGTCCTCCACGACAAACTTAGGAAGCGACCTCAGAGGAAGCCTTTGGAACGAGGCAAGCCGGTGGTCCGCACCCCCAAGAAGGTGGTGCCCCTTTTTGTTCGGGTAGAGACCTGAGGACTCACTGTGTGGCTTGGAGAGAGGAGCGAAGGCTCTGAAACCGTGTGGCCTGGGTTTGAAATCCAGCTCTGGCACTTCCTGGCCATATGGCTCTGGACAATTTACTTGAAACTCTGAGAACTCCCCTTTTCATCTGTAAAATGGGGGCAGCAGTCTATTCTTGTTGTGACTGGGTGAGCAAGATCATGTAATAACCTGTTCTGTATAAGGTAACTATTCAACAACTAGAGAATCTGTTTTATGCCAGGTACCAGGTAATACCCAATGTAGACAAGTGTACAGGCCCACTCTTTGCATTCTAAAAAAGGAAAGCAATCATTTAATAGTATTAACAGTGAAGTGTAATGCACAGGGAGCTTGTGGCAATTTTTGTCTGAGCTCCCCACAGCAAGGTCTACTGCATGTTGACAGCTTCCCTATTGTGACCAAGGAGGAGAACCGCATGAGAGTAAAAGGCTTCTGCCTATTCTTTAAGAAAAGAGGGAGAGACCCAGGACGGACCATTGAGAAAATAAAACTATTTCCACACCAGGACTCTTATTCCTGGTAGTCAGGAGTTTTCTTAAAATGCAAAATGGAAGCAGAAAATTATTTTATTTTACATAATGTTGGATGAAAGTACTTCATTAGTCAGAAATGTACTTGCCTTTCTAAAAATGAATTTCTCTCTCTTTACACCTGTTTGTGATGTATATTGATTTAAGGAATAAACTCACATGTGTCTGTTCATGTGATGAACTCTTAACACTTCGACAAGTTTTATTAAGAACAGAGCAAGATATTGGGAAATACAGTAATGAATGAGATGATCCCTGTTCCCTAGTAATACCCAATCTAGCCAGATTGACAGTTGTTTGGTTTTTTTTTTTTTTAAGTTATAAGAAACAGTATCATAGATCTTTGTAGCAGATAGGAATACAGATGAGGGAGTAATTAATTCTGCCCAGGTAATTTGTCAAGAAATTGCCATTGAAGAGATAATTTTGAAAGGGGCGTGAAGGAGTAAGAGTTCTCAGGTAGACTCTCAAAATTTATTCCCAGCACTTTTGGAACTATTTACCAATAGAAGGAAAGGAGAAGTTCATCATCATACCCAGTTTCCCTTTATACTGCCTGCAGGAATAAAGTGCTCCTCTATTTCAACAGAAGTTCTCATCCCAAAAGCAAGGAAACTGATCAGGGAGCTGTCAGTATCTGGTAGGCCTTGTTGGGGTCACCCTGATAATACATCACATTCTATTGTCATTATTTTTTTTATCAGTCTAAGTAAACGTTTACATGGCATCAGCAAAATGTTTTCCATACAAGATGTGGCTTGGTATCATAAGCAAAACCCTAAAAATACATTTCTAATATTATTCTAAATATCCCGGTAACTTAGTCATTTAATTCTGATCAACCAAATGACCTACAAGAAGTAGTTAAAATATGCAAAAGGCTTGATTACTAGCAGATAATAGTGAAGTGATTTTACTCAGAAATACCAATTAAACTACCCTATTCTTTAGGAAAACATTCTCTTATGCTTGCTGAGTTTTGATTCTCTTTTTTTTTTCTTTTTTTTTCTTTTTTTTTATTTTAGTGTCTCAGATTCATTCTTAAGGAACTGAGAACTTAATCTTCCAAAATGTCAAGTAAGTTTCAATTTTTATATTTATCAATCTATGTTAATAAGAGACTAATGCCCTAGCAAATGGGAATTCCAAAATACTCTCATTTTTTTTTTCTTCAAAACAGGACCATTGGTAGTTTTGTTGCATAGTATTATATCTCAGTTGTTTACAAGAAGTTATTTATTTTCTTTCAAACAGAAAGACCATCTTATGCCCCACCTCCCACCCCAGCTCCTGCAACAGTAAGTTTTAATTTTCTTGTTAATGTAATAGCCAAGTCTGGCCTTGATACAAAAACCCAGATGTCTTCCAGTGACAGTCACTCAATCATCACAGCCACAGGATGAAAAATTCAGCTAAAAAACAGCACTTCCTACTAAATAAAATAACTTTGCATCTTAACTTGAACCAACCCCAACATTTAAAAGAAAAAAAAAACTTTGAAATTCCAATCAAACTCCTATGCTCTTGTTTTTTGTTTTTTTTTTTTTAATTGGAACTAAATGACAAGTTAACACTTCTTTTCTCGTCAATCTTCGCTATTAAGAGTCTTTTAAGTTGATATTGAGTGAATGCTCATTCTGGCATTATTTATTTTTTTAAACCTAACCTTCAAATGGTTACATTTTTCTCTCTTGTCTATATATAAAATTTTCATTTTAAATCAAACAGTAAAACGTCTAGGTCTATAACTACACTAATTGTAATTCTTTATTTTCAAGCTGTTCAAGTAAGGATTTCATTATCTGTGGGTCAGATCTTGCTGCTGAATTCTCCATAAATTATGTTTTACTGGTTTCTAAATTGATAATGTTTCACGTTGTCTAAATAATAGTTGTGAACTGCTTTTTGTATCCAGCAAACTGACCCAGCTTGATCAGCATGTAAAATAATTGTTCAGCCCACAAAACAGATTTAACAGTAACTGTTCAGGCCTTGCTGAAATGGCTTCCTTGTTGGTTTTTTGCGGGTTTTTTTTTTGTTGTTGTTTTGTTTTTTAAAAAAACACTGTTAACATGACCATATCCTACAAAATCAGTTCTTTAATAGCCGCCAGCTTTTCCTTCCATACCCCCCCACCTCCTAAATTTCAGGCTAGTGTACTTTTTACTACTAATTAGGTCCTTGTATAATTTTTTTTCTCCACTAGATAACTAGTCATATTTACTAATCCTCAGATATACGTTTTAGTTACGTTTATCAACAATTTGTTTTTCTTTAATAAGATGCTTTTAAAAAGAGAAACTGTATCATATTTTCTCAGTTCTACTTATATAATATGCAGTCTCTAAAGTTAGTTCCAGTAGACCTGAAAGTCCTGTTTGGTTCATTTTCTTTCTTAAATCAAAGAACATTTCTTACCACTATCTCCATGACACTCTCCTAGTGGCTATACAGGTGGAGTTGAACAATGGAGATTCTGACCTCAAAGAGCTAACCATGTACTTCAGCTTTGGAAATGGTATAATTATGTTTTAGTTTCAATTTTTTTAGTTCCCTTATTTTTCTTACATTATTGCCTCCTAATGTTAAACAGTGATTCTCATTATATATGCAACCTCTGAAGGTGTCATTTTGATGTAAATACTGCCTCCAACAATGTATAATTATCTTGAGAACAAACTTGATATTTTTGAGATTAAAATGTTTCAAAAACCAAGTACCCCTTCTGACTTCTCATATGTAGAAAGGGTTTTTTTTTCTTTGCCTTTCTTTAGTCATATTTCTGTATCATAATTTCACATTAACACATAAAATATAGAAGACTAGAGATTAAAACATCCAACAGAATGGATATTAAATGAATTATTTTCCTTCTTTTCTTTTTTTCTTTTTTTTTTTGGTTCCATTTCTTCTACCACCACCATCACCACCACCACCTCCACCACCACTACCACCTTCACCACTACTACTACCACTCAAATATACCACTCCAAGTAATATACACTTCTTTTGTGCGTTTGATACTTCATCTGTGTTTTGCCTACTTAAATATGTCTAATTTGCGTCTTTAACTGTATAGGCTAGAAATTGATCAGCTCTCTTTTCTCCTAAAAAGTATCAAATGTACTATCTGCTTGAATGTCTATTAGACACTAAGGATATGTATAGTGGCATGTTTTAGAAAATTGTATTTGTTATGTAACAACTAAAGCTTAGTTGGGATGTCTTAAATGTATTTTACATTATACAATTCAGGAGTGATACTGTTAATTGCATGTAAAAATGAAATTACTGTCACTTTTTTGATTGAGTCTCATTAGAAAAAAATACCCTACTTTAGTCCTCTCCTTGCTATATTCTTTTTATGCATTATGCCTTAATTTTCATGAACATTGGATGTCATGGTATTAATTAATTTGTGATTATATCAACACAAAAGTCACAAAACCCAAGAATCCTGTTGCAGCGAGCAGTTGTGTTTTGAAAGGGTGAGAGCTTTCAGAAAAATAGATGAAAAAAAGAAAGTTCACGTCTGTCAACTAGAAAAGTAGTTCTCATTAACACTAAATGCAGAAATTGTTCATAATTGACCTATGGAAGATGGATCAAAGAAGAGATGGAAGAGAAAGCCCTAAAAAGAATCATTGGGTTAAAGATCAGATAGTACCCCAGAATGAAATCCATGCATTTCTTATAAGTCTTTGTTTTGAAGTCATGTATGTGACATCCATTGAATCCAACATATGTTCTTTTCTATTGACAACTCCTGGCTTCCTGGTTTGAGTCTCTTCTCATTTCTCACATTATATAAAATAATTCAAAATTGTCTTGAAAAGCAGATCCATTTCTTGTTTTTATTTGTTTTTAGTAGATGAATACATTGGTTGGCATCCACATAACTGTCAAGTAAATTGTGTTTTGTTTTGCATGTAGTGTTTTCAGATTTCTAGGTTATCATACTTCAAGCCTTCCTATTTGAGACATGATATATATTGCTAAATTGCTTTATGGTACTATTGACTATAAAATAATCCTGAATGTTTGAAACACACAGTGTATTGCTTACCTCAGAAAGCAAGCCACACATTCACATTCTCACAAACACCCCCAGCCCCTGCCAAAAGAAAGAAAAAAAAGCAATAGCAACACGTACAACTGGTTTCTCAATGAAATAAAATTTTAATTTCCTCAATAAAAGAAAAAGAACATTTACAACACTTCATTGCTTGTTTAAATTCAGGTTGCTTTTGCATGCCATATGCAGATCATTTTTCATTTCTGTGTTTTCCTCGTTTGAGCTCATTTCTCATTCGTGTTTTTGTCTCATTTGTTTCCATCAGCAAATGCCCAGCACACCAGGGTTTGTGGGATACAATCCATACAGTCATCTCGCCTACAACAACTACAGGCTGGGAGGGAACCCGGGCACCAACAGCCGGGTCACGGTAGGAGAATCAACTATTACAGCCTCCAGCAAACCACTGGAATTGACCAGAAATGCCTCCAGAGTTAGGTCCTTCTATAAGCACAGCCACTTAAAAAAACTTTAATTTGGCTTTTCAACTATTCAAACATTATTTAAACAGTTTTACACTGGGGGAAAAAAAATAGTGAGATCTGGATGGATATGTATATGGAAGAAAAGAAAAATCCATTCTGTTTGGTGGTCAGTAAGGATAAAACCTTGGGCACTTAATGCTTATACTATTGGAGACAAACTGAGAATTTCCTATGGTTAAAATACCCTTTTGGAGATGAAGAGTTTCTTCTATTTTTCTAAGGTAATTGGCATTAGTCTCAAGAACTTTGTTTCTTACTAAGTGCTAGTCTTTCAGACCTGGCATTTTCAGGGCTGGAAAGCTTTTGGCTGGCCTTGCCCATAAGAACTGCTACACGTAATAATTTGTCTTTTGGATTTAATTATCAGCCTTCTAATTGAGACTGATTTCTCTACAGTTGAAAAGAAAAAAGACTTTTTAGTGTCACTCCAAAAAATTTGCAAAATAGAAATTGAATGAAATTGAAGTATCAGACTAAATATGTACAGTTAGGTGTATATTTCTAATCAATAGTACAGGGATGTGATTTCTAAAACTTAGGATGTTTATTTAAGTGGTCAACCTAAGATAATCAAAGTTGGATGTTATACTTCAGAGTTTGAAATTGGAGTAAATTACAGTAAATCCAAAAGTCAAATACTTACATACACTGGAATCTCTGGTGTTGATGAAAATATATACAATGCAAAATGGCTGTAAATTTTTAATACTTGGTTTTTATTTGCTGTATTCATAAGTAATAAATAAATGCCTTCAATTAATGGAACTACCCTCTCACCCTGTAGTCAAACTACAGCTGAAAGCTCGTAACTATCAAACTATATGTCTATCTTGGTAAGCATATTGCTTATCTTGATAGGTTTTGTTTGTCTAAATTTTTCATTGTTTTTACATAATTTGTACTTCATAAGCATATCAAGTTTTATGTGCCATGTGTATTTCATGGTATCTGAAAAGAATTCTGACAAAGTGTGTTTATGTATGCATTTCACAATGCATACAATTTTTATGTGCATCAGTACATGTTTTCCCCTGGCCTAAATGTATGGTTTCACAAGTATAATGGATGATAGGGAACATTTTAATTTAAACACTGAATGGAGTTAATTTTGGATTATTCATGTTAATGCAGAAATTTATTCATGGGCAATAAATAGTAGAATGATTATAATTATAATAGCTCTATACAGTCAGCTCTTGATTATCTATGTTAATGGAATAGGCATAGAAACAAATACTAGAATGGCTTTTTTGGTTTGTGTATGTAAACATTTTATTCTTAACTTGGATGTAGCTGTTGGGGTTCTTTGTTGATAAAGTGGGGTCATTCAGTGGAGACGGAGTAGGAAAAGAGAAGTGCAGTCCCTGTGTGTGGGCCCAGGTCATTCATTCATTTCTCCCCGATACTTCCTGGCAAACGCAAGAATCCAACATTCAGAATGTATACTAGCTTCAGAGTAGGGTAGTATAAGAGAGTTGTTGAACATTGAAGCTTGGTGTTTTGGCTCTGTTCTTTGTGTTGTTGTCTTTTTAGTACCAGATTGAAGGGTAGTCAAATCAAACTGTTGTGTGAAGGAAATAAAACAGGAGGTTTTACACTACCTTTTTTTATATCTCTGAAGTGTATTAAGAGTTGACAGCTCTGATTTTGACCATTATAAAAACGTTTTAATTTTAAGATGGCCCTAGTTACCCACATTCAGTTCTCCTGTTTAGTAATTTGTCTAGAAATTACCTTAGTGATTTGAAGGACTGATTGTGTGAGGCCCTGAGAAGGAGCTTTCCTAAAAGTCACACACAAATTCATATTTCCTTCAAGACTCCAGAACACTTGGATAGTTTCCAGTGAACACTTTATATGGCAAGTTGACATCTTTTGGAGTGCTTAGAATAGCTTTGAGTTGCAATTCACTTCTAGTTAGTTTTTCATTCAGATAATGATTTGCATTTTCTTAAATACAGATGTGCATACAAACAGATTGAGACAAACTTATAGCGATATAAGTTTTATATATATATATATATATATATATATATAGTGATATCCTATTTTCTTCACTTTAATAGGAAATGTGTACTCTTAAATAAATCTTATCAGAGAAACAGCTAAGAATTGGGAAAGAAACAATAACAAAGAACTCTGGATAGCCAAGATAAATCTCACAAAATCATGAACCATGCTCCTTACATTTCCTAGGACTTTACTCATGTAAGCACATCTTTTAACACTCACAGGCACTTGTCTGCCTGCCCCAACTCATTGCAAATTAGAAGCAGAAAATTGGAAAGAGAGGGTTGCTGATAAAGATAACAAAAGTAAATCAAAAAAAGGAAGCTCAAGCACTCCAAAAGCTACCCACTGGGCCATTTAGTAAGAGAGCCGACTATAGTTTTTCATACCTCAGAAGGTGAAAGCAAAGCAGTGACTCTTTCTAATTGTCTGTTATCTAGAAGAGTTAAAGTATGTTCAGTGCAAACTGTTTTTTTGTTGTTGTTGTTGGTTGGTTGGTTGGTTTTTTGTTTTTTAAGAGTAAAGAAATGTTTAAGACATGTCTGGGATGTTAAATAAATTGAGGGTGGGTGGTATAATTCTTTAAGATCCCAAAACCAATTGGAATTTAACTTTGTTATTTTGGATTATTTTTATTGTTGTTATATTTGTTGTTGGTTTTTTCATTTTGCATTTATAAATTGACAGGTCAGTGTAATGAAAATATGACTTCAAAATGTAGATAACTGGTGTATCTTTCTTTGGAAGAAAGAGAAATAAATCCATTAATGTTATAAATGTGATTCTTAGAAAAATTCCAAAGAGTAAATGTACTTTGTTTTCAAAATGTTTTGATTCATACTTAAAGTTTGAAAATATAAGCATTTTAGAATTCTTTACTTCTTTAATTTCTAAAAAATTAGGGGCACAATTTTAATTTTATTTGTAACTCACTTTATAGATTTCTGAAGGTTTGTGTGGGATATGAGTTGAAAATTTTTTTAATAACTTAATGTATAAAGAAGCAGATTTGATGGACTCTTCCTCTGAGCTCATGATCTAAGGTTAGCCTCCTAGGATTTTTCTCCCTTAAAAGAACTCCTATAAACCTTGATTAAGATCTCCCCTTATTTGCTGCTCATACCACCACTGGTGACTATTCCCATGGCTCATCTCCATTGCCCACTGCTGGCTAAAAAGAGGGTCTGTTTGCATGGGCACTAGCATGGGCATGCCAGTAAGAATGCTCGGAAGGAAGAGCAGAAAGAGAGGAGATACTGCTTCAAGAATGAAATACTTTCTTACAACTTCATAGGTAAAGAAGAAAGGGCTTAGGGACTTAAAAGTATAAGAGGACAGAAGGGAGACCCTAGTGTCAGAAAAGGAAGCATTTCTTGCTTACATTGGAAAAGGGCATAAGCATGCCCAGTCCCTAAGCCCTTGAACAAAAAAAAGGTTATGATTTATCACAGTAGCAACAGAAGGGTAAGAGAACAAATTTTCACTCTCATTTTCTTATAAAAATTTGAAAATTAAGTCAGGACTTTTTTCCCCAAGCCTGGCAGGGAGAATTAATATCATTTGGCCATGATTTTTATTTTTCTGAGTCCTTAATCAAATGCAGTTATGTATGTATGTATGTTAAGATTTAGAAGTTTAGAAACAGGTGTTCTTGGAGTGGCTGGCTTTACCTGGGACATCTACCAGAAGCCATAGTGTCTCCTGCCTAGATCTCAGCTCATGGAACCTATCACTCATCTGTCTCATTCCTGTATTTCTTCTCTCACATACTTTCTTCTTTCCTTTTGAAACTATTTTCCAGTGTCTCTTCCCCTTCCTTTTCTTCTGTTCCCTTTTCCTATATATGCCATCTTTTCTTTTTCCTCTTATGTCTCTTACACAACATCAAAAATTCTTAATAGAATGGACTTCTTCATGTAAGACCTCAAAAATGACAATCGGGCCCAGTATCTGCTGGGGCTCTGTTCCTGGAAACTTATTTGCTCCTCGCTGTGATTAGGATGGAGGATAGAGAAAGATGGGACTTTAGTTCATACTTCTTGAAAACCACTGGATAATAGACATAGCCTTTGAGAGAAATGAAATCTTTGTGTGCTGAAGGAGATAAGAAAGTTTGCAGAGTGTTTGTTGTTTTTTAACCTGAGAGGCAGTTTTTGTATTGTGTTTTGTGTGAAGGTGTGTTCCTGATGTAGTATCAATAGATGCAAGGTCTCCTGTAGGCAATGTGAGTGTGGTAAGTGATGAAGGTTCAGATTCTGCTGCAGATAATCAAGTGTTGACTGTATGCATAATGACAGTTGAGCAAAGTAAATGGGTGCCAGGTAATGTTCTAAATGTGATTTGTTTGCTATATAACCATATATTTTCAATGTATGGATTATCATGTAATATTTTGTTCTTACAGCCAGGTTGTCAAAGCAGTGGCAATAAACTGCCAAGTAAAACATTACAATTGCATGCTTAAAGCCATTTTCTTTTGATGTGAACATTTCTGAATTTGCAGTGATAGCTATTTTCCGTGGAGAAAATATAAGAATCTTGTATCCATGGACGAGTAGAAGAAAGGCGCATTAGAATTTTTTTAAGGGACTCTCTTTTCAGGTTGCCGGTGAACTTCTTGCAGTTGAGTAATGAATGTATTTAACTCTTTTGTAGGCATCCTCTGGTATTACGATTCCAAAACCCCCAAAGCCACCAGATAAGCCGCTGATGCCCTACATGAGGTACAGCAGAAAGGTAGGCACCCAGAACTGGGAAGGAGTGTGGACCACCACCTCTGCTTCTCAGCCATCCATGCAGCTTCAGCGTGGCCTGGTCTGTTTTTCTCTGCATATTCAGGGGAAGCATTAAAAAAATGTAGTTTTTAAAGAGCTTTGTTCTGATTTCAGAATTTCAGAAGTAAAATCCAGCAAGAGGAGCATAATTAAATAAGACAGAATGTTTTGTAGCTATGAACGTAATGTGTTTTGAAGAATATTAAATAACGTGAAAAAATGTTAAGTAAAAAAAGTAATACAAGATTATTTGTACTATTTTTGTAAAAATCATTAAAACTACATGTTAGTTTGAGGGAGGGAACCTAGAAAACAATGGTTACCTATGAACAGTAAGCTGATGGTAATTTTTATTTTCTATATATTTCCTTGAATTTTCCAAATTTTTTGGTGATAAGCCTTATTACACTTAAAAATATGGCCAATATCTTTTTTAAAGGTATGGCATTTTAACAGACCTTTAGAAATGTTTTAATTTTTGGTAATAATAATTATATATGTGTTTGACAATATGATCATGTATTATAGTTTGCATTGTATTATGCAGATTAACAACTTTCTTGCTAAATTCATGTGAATTTTTAGAGACATCAGTTAGCTTATTGAGTTAACCCATCTTAAGTGCCTGTAGTGATTGGAGGTGTTCTTGATATATCAAATTAAAGTACTTAGGAATGAAGTGACATGGTGTCTGAGATCTACCTTAAAGTAATCTAACAGAACCAAGCACTGTGGCATGTGCCTATGGTCCCAGCTACTCTAGAGGCTGAGACAGTAGTTAAGGCCAGCCGTGGCAATGTAGCAGTCTCAAAAATAAATAAATAATAATTCATCAAGGTAAAGATGACATGAGATTAGCCAGCTATTAGTAAAGGTTGGAGTAGGCCAACGAGGACATGGAAATACAATGCTACCTTTCATTTTTTTAATGTTTAAAAGTTTCTATATTAGAAAATATTTTTAAATGTTTAAATGTCCATATGTTTAGGCATCTATATTGAAATTCCATCTGTTTCCTTTTTAAGGTCTGGGACCAAGTAAAGGCTTCCAACCCTGACCTAAAGTTGTGGGAGATTGGCAAGATTATTGGTGGCATGTGGCGAGATCTCACTGATGAAGAAAAACAAGAATATTTAAACGAATACGAAGCAGAAAAGGTAGGAGCCCACTGTGGTGGGACAGATACAGTATAAAGTGCATCATCCTTGGATCGTTATTTATAAAAGAAGTGTAAGACTGGATCAGAAAGCTGAGGCTACCTGCCTGAGCCCAGGCACATTTCTCTAGACCTCATATTCCTTATCTGTAAAAAGAAGGTGACTTTAACACCCTGCCTACATGATGTCTTAAGATATTCAAATGAGATAATACAGGGGCTGGGGATGTGGCTCAAGCGGTAGCGCGCTCGGCTGGCATGCGTGCGGCCCGGGTTCGATCCTCAGCACCACATACAAAGATATTGTGCCCGCCAAAAACTAAAAAAAATAAAGATTAAAAAAATTCTCTCTCTCTCTCTCTGTCTCTCACTCTCTCTTAAAAAAAAAAAAAAAGAGATAATACACACTATAACCAGCAAAATGTTAATTATAAACTGAAAAACCTTTGAATTTCAGATAGAGTACAATGAATCTATGAAGGCCTATCATAATTCCCCTGCATACCTTGCTTACATCAATGCAAAAAGTCGTGCAGAAGCTGCATTAGAGGAAGAGAGTCGACAGAGACAGTCTCGCATGGAGAAAGGAGAACCTTACATGAGCATTCAGCCTGCTGAAGATCCTGATGGTAAGGGGAGAAAGTCCAATTTTGTTTATGCTTTCTCTGAATTAATGTATGTTTTAATAATGTTTTTATATTTATCTTAAATGAAAAAGCAGTACTTAAGTGTCATTTCAATATCTTGATTATTTTGATTAAGATTTTTGTGTCAATTTCCCACAAGAAAAAGAAATATCCTTTCAGAACAGAAGTTAGGGGCTGGGGATGTGGCTCAAGCGGTAGCTCGCTCGCCTGGCATGCGTGCGGCCCAGGTTCGATCCTCAACACCACATACAAACAAAGATGTTGTGTCTGCCGAAAACTAAAAAAATAAATAAATAAATATTTTTTTAAAAAAAAGAACAGAAGATAGTAAAAACTATACTTACTGTTTATCAAAGTCTTTGAACTCAGAACTTATGGAAGGCGTTTGAGTCACAACTAGGAATTTGCCTTCACTACTTTTAAAAAGCTAAAAAGAAACTGTGGCATATATACACAATAGAATATTACTCAGCATTAAAAGAGAATAAAATCACGACATTTGCAGATAAATGGATGGAGCTGGAGAATATCATGCTAAGTAAAGTAAGCCAATCCCAAAAAACCAAAGGCCAAATATTTTCTCTGATATGTGGATGCTGGTCCATAATTGGGGCTGGGGTTGGGGTGGGGCATGGGAGGAATGGAGGAACTTTAGATAAGGCAAAAGGGAGGGAGGGGAAGGAAGCGGGTATTGGGAGTAGGAAAGATGGTGGAATGAGATGGACATCATTACCCTAGGTACATATATGAAAACATGAATGGTATGAATCTTCTTTGTGTACAACCAGAGACATGAAAAATTGTGCTCTATATGTGTACTATGAATTGAAATGCATTCTGCTGTCATGTACAATAAATTAGAATAAATTAAAAATTTTTTTTGAAAAGCTAAATGCCTTCTAGTTATACTCAGCTTTCTTTTTGATTCCTTGAATTTGCTGAATCAAAGGTTCTTAAGAGAGAAAGTTAATGGGTAGGAACATTATGAAATCTCCTTGCTAGTTAATTCTGCAGTCCAACAAGAATTTATTAATTCAAGTCATAAGGACCACTTGTGAGAACACACAGATTATATATGTTCACACAAATGGCAGAGCTTTCTAATTGGGGTTCCATGAATAGTGTGCAGGTGTGCAGATTGCTCTCCAAGTTCTTTGTAGTCAAGCAGGGTCAGAAGCTACAAGGACCCCCAGAGACTGCCACCACAGATTAGAAGTACTCTTGTCCACATACCTAGCATGCTGTACTGAATACTGTGTTTTCTCTGTGTACATTATGATATGAAAGAAGTTAGAAACTCCAACTATAAGCCACAAAAACATCAAGAAAATAAAATCCCATTTTAAGATAGCAATAACAGAGAGGAAGTTTGTAAAGAAGACACCAACAAGGGCAGTTTAAAGACATGAACAATATACTTAAAAAAAGAAAACCAAAAATGAGATTTTTAAAAGAATGGACTGGGATATTGACAAAATGTTATAAATACAGGTAGTAAAATATAGAGAATAGAATATGGAATACAAATAATACCCACGTTAAGCAGAATCAGTAGCGCCAAAGGCACTAACATATGCAAGTTTTAATTAAGGTGGGATTGTTAATGTAAGAAAAATACATAGAATTGAAAAATGAAAGATCAGGTCTACAAATAATTGGGAAGAAAAGGATCTGCTCAAGAGAAACAAGGGCTAACAACATAGAAGTTATAAGCAGAAGATAAAGCTTTCCTTAAGTGAAAGATAACAGCATGACTTGAGAAAGTCTTGCCTTCTGCCTGTTGTGTTTTTAAGTTTAAGAAAGGCTCCTAAACCAACTAATAGGAAAGGGTACAATAAATAAGGTGCCAATGTAAGAATACTGTAGACCTTGAACCTCATCCCTCAGGACTTGGGAGGCAGATATAGACATACAACCAAGAGACAGGTGGCACCTGCTGACATCAGTAGCAAAGGACCAGAAAAAGGTTCACAAGACATATACCATGCTCCACACAAAACACTGAAGGCTTTTTTAAATGACACTTGAAAGATAATCACATGTAGCACACTGTAGGCCTCTGTGGCAGAGTTTCCCAGCCCCCACCCCCGACTCTGGTGGGATACTAGGAAGTTAGGTGCTAGAGAGCAAATTTGTTTTAATGTGTTTTGCTTAAGGGAAAGCTTTGTATTTTTTAGATGAGTTAATTTAAATGAAAGTAGATAATAGTACAGGTTGTTACTAGCTATGTGAAAAACTGTTGATGATAAAGCAAGAGCCAAGATTAAGAAAGCACTGTTGTAGTTATTAAAAGTAAGCATATAGTGCTGGGGTTAAGCGCTCTCCTAGCACATGCAAAGCGCTGGATTCGATCCTCAGCACCACATAAAAATAAATAAATAAAGGTATTGTGTCCAACTACAACTAAAATATATTTAAAAAAAAAAAAAGCATATAAGCCAGACCTGTGTAGTACATCAGTGCCCGTTGACAACAGCTGTGTGCATATGTAAATTGACAAAAATTAGAAGTAATTTTGGAATTGAATATTTTTTTTCCTGAAGTTACCTATGCCTTCATGGTGTTTTGTTGTTGTGGTGGTGGTGGTGGTGGTGATAGTGCTAGGGACTGAACCCAGGGATGCTCTACTATTGAGCTATATATCCCCACCCATTTTATTTATTTATTTATTTGAGACAGGGTCTTCCTGAGTTGCTGAGGCTGGCCTCATACTTGTGATCTTCCTGCTTCAGCTTCCTGAGTTGCTGGAATTGCAGTTGTGCACCACCGTCCCCAGCCTTTGTGACTTTTTGATCTAACAAAATGAAAATGCTATCTATAAGAATGCTAGAGAGGATTTTTCTCTGTAGTAATAAGTTGATCTTTACAAATGATCATTTTCATCAATTGTAAAGAGCTACAGCAACAAAGACTACACAGTTCATATGTTGTTTAGCAATATATATGCTGCCACTATAGCTCAGTGGTAGAGCACTTGCCTACTGAGAGAGATTGACATTCGGCAGAATTTCAGTTACTGCCATGGGTTGCAGCCTTCTTGTTGATACTAAAGCCTAAAGAGATATGGTTATATCTCATTTTTGTTTCATCAAACCCTTCTCAGACTTCATCACTTAACAACTTAATGAGAAAAACCTTAGCCACTAAACACATTCTGTCTTCTGTGTGGTTTTCATCAAGTGTCCAATAGTGCTCTTGTCATGCTGGTCAGGCCAATGAGAGAGCACCACAGTTCCTCAATGTTAAATGTTAACATTGCTACACTCCTGATTATGGTTACTGGCTACCTCATTTCTGGAACATCTTTTTCATTCCAGATTATGATGATGGCTTTTCAATGAAGCATACAGCCACTGCACGTTTCCAGAGAAACCACCGCCTCATCAGTGAAATCCTTAGTGAGAGTGTGGTACCAGACGTCCGGTCAGTTGTCACAACAGCTAGAATGCAGGTCCTCAAGCGACAGGTCCAGTCCTTAATGGTTCATCAGGTACATCACAAACATTTGTTAAATAAATTGCTGCAAATCCCAGGTGACATGATTCTTATACTATGCATACATATACTGTGAAATGTTTCATTCTAATCTGTTGTGATTTGGGAAAGATGGTTACAGGAGTGAACCATTTCCAGAGGTTTATTAAATTTGTCATTAAAAACTAATAGAGACAGTACACACCTGTAATACCAGTTACTTGGGAGGCAAGTTTGAGGACAGCCTGGACAAAATTTTAAAATAAAAGATAAAATTAAGGAACTGGGGTTGTAGCTCAGTGATAGAGCACTTGCCTAGCATGAGTGAACTGGTTTTGATCTTCAGCTCCACATAAAAATAAATAAATAAAGGTATTGTGTCCGTGTTCAACTAAAAAGATTTTTTTTAAAAGATAAAATTAAAGGACTGAGGATTTAACTCAGTGGTAGAGTATCCTGGGTTCAATCCCCAGGACTGGTAGAAGGGGAAAACAAGTAGTAACAAAACCTTGTAATTGAAAGTATTTCTATTAAGAAATACATGTGCACTTGAGAATTTTAGACAACCTCTCCACATTTGTTGCTTTACTGAATACTTTTCCAAAAACCTCCTGAGGCCTGAAATAGTGTTCTTTAACATTTTATTAATCACAGTCCTCTCTCTATACTTAATTTTATATTTTTAAAATTATAGCTGATTCATGTTGTAGAAATTAAAATTTAAAATTTAAAATGTTATTTGTCACAGAAATTGAAAGAGTGATCATTAAAAAATGAGGTGTGTTTTCTGTGTTTGATATTTGCTTCAGAGAAAATAAGTAAGTAATCATAAAACCTGGTTATATGTCTTACAGCGAAAACTAGAAGCTGAACTTCTTCAAATAGAGGAACGGCACCAGGAAAAGAAGAGGAAATTCCTGGAAAGTACAGATTCATTTAACAATGAACTTAAAAGGGTATCCATTTGATGTGTTAACTATACTTTCATCACTGTTCCTGTTACTTTCTTTTTCCTTGTTATTTTTTCCAAAACTGTTTTTATTTAATATTGTTCACTTTGAAACAGAGTTCATGTCACTATACATATAAGACCTATAATATCTTTTATTTATGAAATTATTGCAATTTTCTGGAAAATTGCAATAAATTTGAGATATCATATAGTATACATGCACATATTAGGTCCATAGATGTTGGAGTTCTAATATTTTAAACTTCTATGCGGTCATGAATTGTTTTCACTTTATTGGAATTATTCATCAGACTTTTAATACAGTTTTCACTTTGTATTAGAACAAGTAAATCTTGTGTTTGGGAGTCTGAAATATAAATTAGAAACCTTATGAATAATTCTGTCTCAGTATTGCCTCTCCCCCTGTAGTACTTGATGATATGTGACTGCTCAAACAACTTCTTTATGTTTATGCAAAAGAGTTTCAGGGAAGACTGAGAAGCATGTTTTTTTTCTTCCTGTATACATACATTTATTTCATAGGCAAGAAAACCTACTTTTGAAGCAATTTATCTGGTTCAAAGGTTATTAGAAGAAAACATTACTAAAAGAGTTTTTTGGTGTTTTTTTTTTTTCTGACTACTAGTTGTGCGGTCTGAAGGTTGAAGTGGATATGGAAAAGATTGCAGCTGAAATTGCACAGGCTGAGGAACAGGCCCGGAAAAGGCAGGAGGAAAGGGAGAAGGAGGCAGCAGAGCAAGCCGAGCGCAGTCAGAGCAGCATCACTCCCGAGGAAGAGCAAGCGGCAAACAAAGCCGAGGAGAAGAAGGACGACGAGAGCATTCCAATGGAGACAGGTAAGCACCAGACACCGGGGGAATCGCCAGGGCCTTTTACAGCTGTCTGTAATTTTGATTTTTCTTTCTAAATGCTCTTAGAGATCACTCTTGTCTCTTGAGTAATTCTCTATGTGACCTACCCAGTTCTTTCCAAATCCTAATCTTTATGGTAGACCCACTGAAAATGTTGGTATCACCATGGAATACCAGTGACATATTGTCAGCAGTCTTGCCATCTGAGGTTTTGACATTGTACCCAGATGTGCTGTTTTTTAACTTGAGATTATGAAATAGACCAGTATGATGGTTAAGGACCCTGGTCCAGGAATCACACAGATTGGGGACTAGAACTAGAACCTCAACTGTGGATAGTTTTTTAGTTTGTTTCCTCATTTGAAATCATCCTAGTACTGCTTCTGTGAATACATTCTGGTACTAGATTTAACATGGTGTTAACACTCAGCATTTTGACTTTTATCACTCATATTAATTATGCAAGGTATGATCATTGTTCTTAAGATTGTGTCATGGGATAGTGTCAGGCAAAGTAAAACTTATAGGCCAAATCCTGCTACACTTTTTTTGTAAAAAGTTTTATTAAAACACAGCCACACCGGTTTGTGTATATATTGTATATGACTGCTTTGAGGCTACAGCAGTATGGTTGAGTAGTTGCAACAAAGACTACCTGGCCCACAAAGCCTAAAATATTTACTATCTAGCCCTTTACATAAAAAGATCGTTGACCCCATCCTAGAAGAACTTACTTCTAGGTAAACTGATTTTCCTGGGGAATAAAACATCCTGCAAGTTAGAACATTACATGTAGGACTTGTATAAAGAACTGATTAAATTGATTATTGCTTGAAATTTCCAGATCACCTCACTTTCTGGCACTATTTTCACCTACTTAGTGCACCATGTACATAGAACTAAGCTGAGAGTAGTTATAGGAATACAGCCAGAGGCTCCTTCAACCATCATTGCCAGAAGTAGCAGGAACAATAGTTACACTTGTACTCAAATGACAACCATCTGAAAAGTTTTTATTGGAATATAAATATCTTCTCCAGACATTTCTACAAAATGTAATTCACTAGATGAATATTTCACACAGATTTTAAGTTTTATCTTCTTAGCCTCATTTCTGTTTTTTTATAAACATGTTTTTTATCTTAAATTTGAAGCATGAGCACGTTTGTGGTTAAATTAAGAGCTTGGGAATCAGGGTATGGGTCTTTGCTCATTTTGCAACTAGACATTACTCAGTCAGAGGTTTTGTCATCTGTGAATGGGGCCTTTCTTATTCTTAAGGCCTGTGGGTCTTTACTCAGATTCTATCCTTATAGCTTAAGAAAAAGAAATGAAGAAAATGAAGACTGCAAGCAAAACCCTCATGCTCTTAATTTCTTATAGGAAACAGCCCAATGTGACTTTTTACAAAAGTATCTAAAATATAAACTTGATATTATTTCCACATCTGCCCTCTCACTTAATCCAAAAGCCACAGAATAGCACTGTTCAATAGTAATATACTGTAAGTCACATGACATTTTAAATTTTATACTAGTGACATTTTTTAAAAATTAGGCAAAATAATTGACATTAATTTGATGACATTGTATTTAACCCAATATATCTTAAATATTATTTCAACATGTAATCAGCATTTTTTAAATTATCAACTTTTTTACATTCTTTTTTTCACACAATAAGTCTTTGAAATCCAACATGTATTTTATTCTTAGAGCACATCTTAATTCAAAAGCTAAATTTTCATCCAAAGCATTTAATCTGTACTTAGATTTTTATAGAACCTACTGCTAAAAAAAGTAGATTTTCACACCCCAGATTATGCCATACAAACTTAAAAGCTCCTCACTGACACTGGCTCATTTCAGGTACTCACTAGCCACAGGTGGCTAATGGCTACCATATTGGACAGCACAGCTCCATGCTGTCCGTGTCCATGTAGAGCAGATGTTTATCTTCAAACTGACAGTGTCACGTGTGATTACAGAGGAGACACACCTCGAAGAAACAGCGGAGAGCCAACAAAATGGTGAAGAAGGCACGTCCACTCCAGAGGACAAGGAGAGTGGGCAGGAGGGGGTGGACAGCATGGCGGAGGAGGGGACCAGCGATAGTAACACTGGCTCAGAGAGCAACAGTGCAACAGTGGAAGAGCCACCAACAGATCCCATGCCGGAAGATGAGAAGAAAGAATAATTGTTGCCTTGTTTTATGTGTCCTAAATACTTTTTTAAATGAAAAAAATGTTTTTTGGTTTTAATGGTGTTATGTGGTCTGTGTATTAATTTTTTTCTTGTCTGTTTCATACCACCAAAGGCTTTTTGGACCATGAGTGTCATGAGCCCAGTGGCACATCAGTCACCTTTCTTAGCATTGTAAAGATGGCTTTTTTCTTTGGATCTTGTTGCTAGCCCTCATCTGCCGAAAGCCTCAGAATTTAAATTAATTGAGAAAACACCCACCTCTTTTAGAGAGTTATCCTTTGATGCTGCAGAATCTCCTCTTACAAATGCCTTCCTCCAGCTCACTTGGGTGCTTACCAAAGCCATAGCTTTAAACCTTCCCAGTCCCCATCAACAGCTTCCTGAAAGTCCCCTCTCCTGTGTATATGTGCACAGAGTACATTCTTGAGAACACAATCATGAGTGTGTGTATATTTTTTCACGTGCCCTTTTTATTTTAAATCAGTGTCAGATAACAAGAGTTGTGTTAAAGGCTACAGTGTTGCCTACAACCAACTATCCTTGGATCGTACTGATCCAGAGTAGTCTCCACAGTTAGAGTAGTTCCTGGCTTATGATGTAGTCATTAAAATGAACATAGCACATTTTTGTTATCTATACTGCTTTTTGTTCTGGTTAATATTGGGTGCATTCTGGTAAATTCATCCTTTGTACTGGGGGAAAAAAACACTTTTTTACCAAGTTTTCCAAAGACAGAATAGATCACAAAGTTAAGGAATGGAATGTTCTTGTAATATATTAGATAACTTCATAATGATTAGCCCATTCCAGAAGAAAAACAGCTGGGAATTAAGTTCATCCACATGAAATTGTTTTACAATAAACAAAACATTCAAAACCTCAAGGCTCAGGATCCCATAGATCAGAGCCTACCTCCCTTTTTGATAAACTTAGTAAAGTCTTGGAGACTAGAAGAAAGATAGTTTGTCACTCGTATGCTTCCAAAAAACTAGAATAGATTTTTACTGAATAGTGGTATATCTGATGGTATATGTTTCTTAAAGGTCCAAATGTAATAAAAAAATGAAAAAAATGGTCTCAGTGTTTTTAATGCCCTAAATATTTGTATGCAAGACAAGGATACAGTTTTGTCTCTATAGTGCAATGACAGTATGGAGGGGCCACTTGGTCATTTGAATTTACATACTCAGGGCCCTTGTCTGTAAATGCTGCAGTTATTAAGTTAATTTGCACAATACAGTTGTGAAAATAAGTTTCCTTCCATGATAGTTAGGTCACATATGCATTTATCTTGAGTAAGAATACATTTATGACATTTAAATTTAAATTATCTTTGAAAAAAGCATGGGGCTGGGGATATAGCTCAGTTGGTAGAGTGCTTGCCTCACATGCACAGGGCCCTGGGTTCAATCCCCAGCACCACAAAAAAAGGAAAAAGAAAAATAACATGGGTGTGCTTTGGGGGCAAGAATTCTGTCCTCGTTTATGATGAATTCACTTGCTCTGAACCCACAACACCATTAGTGACTGTAGCTCCACATCATGCTTAGTCTCTTTGAGAGGGAGCCTGATTTTGGGTGCAAAATCCTTTGATGTCTATTCTAAATAATATGTGGTAACTTTTTCCTGGTTCCTGTGAGTGAGAGAAACTGATAAATGAGTCCATTTCTAGGTGCTGAGCACTGCAGGAGAACTCAAACCGATCTCAAATTATACAGCCTCCTCTAATACGGTGCAGAGAAGTTGTTAAATAATAGAGGTGGAAAACAGTGCCAGAGCAAGGTGTCAGATTATTTATCCAAGTCTCTTGAGAGTATGGAAGTGTTTCTTTGCTGAGCTGGAGATGGGTGGCACTGGGAAAACATCTGCCTGGCCTAGGCCTGTCCTTGCCAGGCAGTTCTGGCAACTGGCTGAAAGGTGAATTAAGTCAGGTGGAATTTGACAGTTTTTAACCTCAAGAGGCACAGAGTAACTTTTCTCCTTTGTTAAGGTGATATGTGCAGACACGGATATTTCTTAGTTTTGAGAATGTGGAATATCACATTAATTTTTCATCCTCATAGACATTGGGAAAATAGTTTAAAACTCTTAAGCCTGTTTCAACTAACATAGATTGAACTACTTTCTATTTCAGTGCCTTTTCTGCTCCATATAGCCATGATTTTTAATGCATTTATCTTGAATAAGAATGCACAAAATTTGAGGGCTTAAGTTATAAAGAGAGAGAGAATTTTTTATTATTTATTTTTTAGTTATCAGCGGACACAACATCTTTGTTTGTATATGGTGCTGAGGATTGAACCCGGGCTGCACACATGCCAGGCGAGCGCGCTACTGCTTGAGCCACATCCCCAGCCCCAAGTTATATTAATTTTTAACAACAAATAGGGTTCCATGTCTCCCCAGTTTTCTCACTAGAATGCCAAATTCTCTTAACTCCCCTCCTGTCAATAAGCACGTCTTTCTTAGCTGGGCACCATGGCACATACTTATAATCACAGTCACAGGAGGATCAAGTTCAAAACCAATGACAAAAGCCAGCAACAAAGTGCTTAGAGACCCTGTCCCTGAATAAAATACGAAATAGGGCTGGGGATGTCGCTCAGTGATTGAGTGGACTTGAGTTCAATTCCAGTACCTAAAAAATACATAAGCATGTCTTTTTTAAATGTCTCCTACAGTACATGGTAAATATGTCAAGCCATGTACAGCATACAGATATTTCCATCAACAGAGGACCACATATAAGATAGTGGTCCCATAAGATTGTAATGGAGCTGAAAAATGCCTGTTGGTAAGAATTTTTGCTGTGCTTTTCCTATGTTTAGATACACAAATGCTTACTTTGGTGTTACAAGAGTTAAAATTGCCTACAGTGTTTATTTAATGCAGTAACACGCTGTACATGATTATCACTAGGAGCAGTAGGCTATAGCCTAGGTGTGTGGTGGGCCATACCATCTAATTGTGTATGAGTACACTCCACTATGCCATTTGCATGACAACAAAATCACCTAAAGATGCATTCTTCAGAACATCCCCATTGTTAAGTGACACATGACTCTATAGTAATGTCTAAGAGATTTGCAAGAAATAAATAGGTGCTATCTTATTTTAACATGGTAATGTGAATGTCAAATGGAAAAGATACAATAGGTTGACTTTTTGTTTTTGTATTGGGGATTGAACTCAGGGGCTCTCGACCACTGAGCCACATCCCCAGCCCTTTTTTATATTTTATTTAGAGACAGGGTCTCACTGATTTGCTTAGCACCTTGCTTTTGCAGGGCCTGGCTTTGAACTCACAATTCTCTTGCCTCAGCCTCCCAGGCCACTGTGATTACAGGCATGCTTCCCCCATGTCTGACATAAATTGACTCTTTTAAAAAGGAATCTGAGGTCATGTATATCTACTGAAATTTAACTAGATGTGTCCAAATTTTTAGTTTTGATCCTCTACAGTTAGATTCTAGTGTTGGATGTTAGAAGGCGCTGACTGTACAAAACTCCTATCGCCTGCAGTTAAACTTAAGCTTTAGTTTTTCATGTGAACAAGCAATAAAGCTGAGATTACTTTGTTAAATCATTTCAGAAATAGTTCCCCTGCCCCAAGCACTACTACACACAGTCTCCCCACTTAGTTTCAGCTAGTGTGTGTTTTGTATTTCACCGCTGGGCAAAACTTACTGGAAGAACTACAGTTGACTTCTTAATGATTTGCACATTAGAGGGTTTAATGCCTTTACAAATGATAGATAAACTGTGCAGTAACATGCTAAAAGGAACTCTGAGCCTTTTTAGAAGAAATTGTGCTGAATTATAATTTGACTAACTATGATGATATCTCTTTGATCATTATGGTAGGGAAAACACTTGAGTAGAAAGTAATGCCCAAGAGTTATTAGAAATCATAAAACTGCTTATAAATATCTATTAGCTTGAACCACAGGAAATGGCCAATGTAGGTGTTTAATCTAAAAAATGACAGTTTCACCTGCTTCAGCCTAATAATAATATTGCATTTTTTACTCCGAATGTAAGCTCTTACTTGTAAGTTTCTGAGTGTGAAATGATGGTGATTTACCAGACTGGCCTATACTTCTCTAATAGCCTTACTAAATGATGTTAAACAAAACCCTGCTGAAAATGCAAGCCTCTCTCCAGTATTTAATAGCCAGTTTTCTAAAATAGACTGAGGTAAACATATAGTTAAACTATCTGACTTACATTCACATTGTCTTAACCAAAAAAGGGGGGTTTTATTTGGATTCGGGAATAAAAATTGTTATATGGGGAGGGGAAATTCCCAAACAATAACTTGCTCATTACATAAAACAGACAATAACTGCAGATAGCAGCTCGCTTTGATGAGACACTTGAAAGTAGGAAAGGCTTCCTCATATTCCTTGGCATTAATGAGAGAGTGTTAAGGTAGCCACCTCCAGCACCCACCAGCACTTGGTCCCCAGGTCCCCTAAGGCTCTACTTAAGTAAATATTTCATGCTCTATTTAAGTAAATATTTCTAGTCTCAGTGAGCCCTTCATCTCTTAAGACAGTTCATTTCTTCCTTAGTTATCTAAAAATATTTCTTACTGAGCTATAAAATCCGTCTTTCCATAATTTCAGCCCCTGACTGATATACCTTGGAGTCAAAATAGAATAAATGTAATCCTCTTTCAAGTAAAAGATCTTCAACTATTTCAAGATAAGTGTTTATTTAATGCAGTAACATGCTGTACATAATTGTCACTAGGAGCAGTAGACTATAGCCTAGGTGTGTGGTGGGCCATATCATCTAATTGAGATCCTTTCGTGAGACAGTTTCCCTTCTGATCACGTGTTGTCTCTCCTCTGGTGTCTCTCCTTGGTGAGGTGAGGCTAAAGGAGGACTAAGCCCTTTCCGCTTCTGAAGTCTGGACCACTAAAAAGCACTGTTTTCTTTAATATGGTGAAACTGTCATTCCTCCCCAGTGTACTGCACTTAATCAAAGCACCACATCTCTAGACCTCAGAAACCATCTGTCTAAAATAAAGGGTTCTGTGATGATCTCAAGGTCCC